GTTTCAAGAAACTATAGGTTTCACCACAAGCTCGGTTTATTAAGACTTAATCGTCTCGGTTTGGTTCATAGTCTACGGACACCAAACTTAAAGTCTCATTCCTTTAATCCAGCAAAAATTTTCTAAACTATTTTTAACATCTAAAAATATTCATTTGAAATATGTGGGGGATTGTTGGAAAAATTTAAAGTATTTCAAATGAATAAAGTTTACTTGGTTTAATTATTTTGATAACCTTTTAATTTAATTAGATTTTACAAATAAAACATTATTTGTACGGTTTGTGAGCTCTGGAGTTATCATATCATTAATATCCATTTATTTTCATAAGAATACAAAATGTTTATTTTTATTAAAAGGTAAATGTTCCACTCTTGGTTACTAAGCTTTCAAATTAATAATGGCTCAACATAAACGTATGAAACGTTCTTGAGCCTTTATTACTAATACTCCGTATATGCTTAATTAACTTAGTGGGAGTTGAAGAATTTTTCAACATTAATCTCAACATTAGTGGGATCTTATTGATTAATAATATGAACGTTACTACTCTAACATTTCATCTGATCGAGCATGTAGCAACGTTCATCTCTTTGAGTATATATATGTGCATTCAGCCAAGCTAGTTAAGATGATTGTGAGATAAAATTATTTTTGCGTTCAACATCCCCTAATACATTACAACTCTGCTGGATTAATTATATTTTACTCTCGTTGTTCTGTTACCGGCTTACGCCGAAGAGCTCGTTTTATCTTGGGGAAAGGTTTTCGCTAGTCGGAAATACTTTCTTGAGGACAGCGTTTACGCGACTCGAGCTATATTATTTTTCTAACAATTTTTTGCAGGTTTATCCGGCGAATTTCCTCCAACACCTTTTGGGTACCACAGAATTTACCTTTTTTTGGGCCTTTTTATACGGATATTACTAATTAGACACGGTTTGACCAAAAAGTAAGCTAAAACACAAATTTCCAATAATATGACATTCTAATACACATGGCCGTATAATTAGGAATTGAAACGCAATGACTGGCGGTCACTTTGACTGCCCAGTAACTACCCACCGGTCATAGTGACTGTGGTTACAGTGATTCCGTCGCATAGTGACTACGCTGCCACAATGACTCCGCCGCCACAGTGACAGTCCACCGGCTACAGTGACACACCAAATCCGGTCACAGTGACACGCCCTCTCCGGTGTCCCCTGCTCCATCCTCCCCTGCTCCCTCACGCTAACGCCACCGCCTACCATCACAGCAGACCGCCGCCGTCGACCGCCTCCGTCGACCGCCGCCCGATACTATGAAGTGACATACAAATTACACGGTCACCGTCCTCCAGTCAGTTACCACACCACCGCCCCCTGCCCCACCATCACCGCAAACCACTGTCGTTGACCATCACCGTCGGCCGTCGCCAGCCGCCGGCTTGACTCCCCAGCCCCCAATCACCTCCCTAACCCCAACCACCCCGATCCCCCAGCCACCCCCATGCCCCCATCCCGATCCCCAACTCCCCCATCTCATCTTTTCAGCGCCACATCACGCTCTCCCAGCCCCTCCCAGCAACGACGCACTCCGGCTAGGTATCAAAAGACGCATCTAAACAAGTCGACTCCCAATCCAAGCTCAGAAATCTAGAGAACAAGCAATCTGCGATCACAACAATGACTCTTTTGCTTCTAGAGATTTAGGAGGATTCGGGACTTGAAATTGGTATTGGGAGGTGCGCCAGAGGCTGGCGACCACCAAACCACTCCCCAATTTCACAAACAATCGTCACAATTGGATCCAAGCTCAAAAAACGAATCCACCTTCCAGCCTCTGGAAAACGAGTTACTGTAGACGAAGAAGATGTCGCCGCAGTCGCGAATTTCATCTCCTTCGCTGAAGCCTCATCGCCATCTCCGTCGTTGTAGCTTTGCCTCGCTGGTTCGTGTGGCAGATGGTGGAGGCCGGATATCGCGAGAGATTGGGGACGAAGAAACGCGAAGAGGGAAGAAAGGGTAAGTGAGCTGGAAGAAAAAGTCATATTTTTAGAAAAATGTAAAAGGGTAATGTTTTTTGAAATCAAAACACGGGTAGTGATACTCCTGCAATTTTTTCTTTTTTTTTTGAGATCATGGTTGAGAAGTTAGGATTATTTGTAGAGATTATTTGATAAACTAATCTGGTATCAAATTTTAAAGCTAGATTATTTGAGGGTTATTTCCAACTTTTAGGCTCTTTTCCCAATTTTCTAGACACACTCATTAATTAAGTTGAGGATCTCATGCATGCCATACTCCAAAAATACGAAGAGCTGAACTGCATGTCCATGCACTATTCCTTTAAATGCACTGTCCGTTGAACAAGTAAATCCAAATTGAAAGTGCATGTGCTACATAGTGTTAACCATCCAAGTTCAATTCAATCAAAACCTGAAAGTGCATGTCATTTTATTTAGCACTACATATGCATGTTTTAATACATTAATTGAAATATTATTAAAGAAAACACATTAGTTGAAATGTTATAAATTTAAATATAGTGCTGGATACAAAAATTTATAGTGCACCGTGCACGTATAGTACTTTATTAATATAGTATATAATTTGTAGTACGTATAGTACATGTATATAATAGTGTTCGTATAGTCCTATATATGTAGTAATATAGTTTTTGAAATTGAGTGTATGTCTCATAAAAAATCTAGGTAAATTAAGATCATGAATGAGGAGAAATTTATGAGTTTGGAGATTATATTATGTGGAGGTGACATGACAATAATAAGCCATGAAAAACCGTAAAGTTGAGAATCATTAATGTGGATGCTCTTAGGTGAAGGGAAACTCAACTGCTCTATAAATCTAAAGCCCGTTCGGAAACTTATTTACCAATTTTTTATCAAACATGAACTAAACCTTTTGATTTCACGTGCAGAATTATGTAATAGGAGTAATAAGAAAAAGTAAAGTTGAAGTTATTTTCTGATTGTATTGACTGAAGTTATTATAGATGAGCATTTTAGCTATTTCCACATAATTTTTTCTTTGTTTTAGAAATAAAAAATATTTTAAATATAAATTTGAATCGTTATCCCGCAAAGATGTAGACTCTACCAGTGGATTGGCTGCTCTTGCTACAATCACAATACTTATTAAAGGAGTTATTAAACCTCACTGTTTTGCCGGCCACCGGTAAGGATTCAAATGTAGAATTTGTTCCGGCTTCATGTACCTACCACCGAAAAGAAAGCAATGTAGTCTCATCCTCTTGGAATGACATTGTTTCTGGAATGGGTTATATGCCTCAATATTGACACAGAAGAAAATCAGGTTCATGATTGATGAAGAGATCAGCACAAACCTTATGTTAGCCCATTAGAACACTCGACGGAGATGGTGGAGAATATATATATCTGGCAGGCGATACTTCACCACAGAAAACAATATCTCTAGACATCGGTAGGAAAGAAATATACCAATAGAACTAAGAACAGTGATTTAAATGATCCTTTTTTATGATTTGAACCAAAAAAAGACAATAAGGGAAAAAGAGGAGGTTAGGGTTTCCCCATCACCATTCCTCTCAAAAATAGGTTATCAATTCTTTATCTTATATATTATTCAAACATCTGTAATTTATAGAGTCAGTTTAGTAACTCAGAAATTGACTTAATCAGCAGAATTTGCTAAAATTAGTGAAATTATGGTTGGGTGTCGGCTGAATTGACAAAATGTGTTGAATTATGAAAAATCATATTCAAAATATATTTTATTCATACACTAAAGAAAAATAGCTATCAATGAGTTTTTGTTACTGATAGACTTTAGTTTTCATTGTATAAGAAAATGGATTGCCTGATTTATTTTATTAACATTGTTTAGGTTAAGTGGTTAACGGCATGGCATGATCAACGTTTTCAACCGAATTTTGATAGTTCTTTTTCAAGTGACAGTAAGCTTAAACTTACAAAAAAATGCTGCATGTTCCTCTAGAAGATTATGCTCTTGATAGTTCAAAAGTCCCATTGGAGAATTGTAGCTTCTCAGAATGTATGCATTTGGCATACACACTTTGGAATAGCTGATAGTAGTAATATGATTGTACCGGTTTAGATTGACTCGTTATTTGATGATCTTATTAACTGTATTGCTCCACCATGTAAGTTTGTGATTCAGAGTCGTGATTACAATACGAGTTATTGAAAGGAATAAATTTTATATAGATTTTGATAACGCTGTATGAACAGGAACTTAGAGTACCATATTAGATCCAAGTGCATTAGCATTTCTTTTGTAGAAGCTTTGGACGTAGTCCGCCAGAATCAGGTCACCAGAGATAGATTTCGCATGGCAAATTTGGCCTCATAGAGACGTCTAGGACAGAGATCGCTTTCAAAAATAGAAAATGCCTCACTCAGCGAAGTCGGTTCAGTTAGAAAACTAACGAACCAAACTGACGTGAATTCCAAAGTGTGCATGCCAAATGCATAAATTCAAAGTGTAGTCGTAGTTACTTTATTATTAAAACATCAATATATCCTCAAATCTCCCAAGTGTTCCAAACTGTCCCATTGGAGAGTTGTAGCAAAACCGTGTGCAATTGTGCATCCCCTCGTAAAGATTAAAACATGTGCTCGTTGTTACTTTATCAGTAAAACATGAACGTATTCTCAAATCCCACTTGGGCCACTTCTATTCAAATATTCATATATTGTAAATTTGTAATTGAACAAACCTTCCTCAACACTCATAAATTCATAACTATCAAAGACAGTAGACATGGCAGTTCAATACTTCGATGATCGCTGTTTATCGATAAATCCCAGCATATAAATAAATTTAATAGGCGTTATTTGTTAGAGAGCAGACCTACCAGTTCGATAAATTTATTTTCTTTCCACTAAGACTACTCTATCACGTCACTGGTATTTACTCAACAATCATTCACCATTTCAAATAATTGGAACGATACACTGATTACTGATACACTATTACCATATAGGCACATAGCAATCACATTCAAAAAAAACTACCATTAGTTTAATGCAGCAAGTTTGCAACAAACAAATTATATATATGCCTAATAAGGATATAATTCAACAAAAGTATGAATGCCATAATTTATGCTTAGAACAAAGTTATTAATCATCCAACAAAACATAAGCCAAAACTATTGAAATATCAGTATGAGATGTGAAATTCCTTGATAAATATCCAACATATTTAGATTCCCGAAGAGTACCCAATTTCCCATTCCTTCAATATTTTAGCTTGTATGATTTCATAAGTAGCTCGCACAGTTGGTGGTAGCTTACTCAAATCAAGGTGCATAATGCATTCTTGATGGGCTCTGTGTTGGGCTCTCTCTTTCACCTCTAGTTCTTTCATCTTCAATTCTAGTCTTTTCTCTTTTAATTCTATCTTCCGCTTCATTGCCTGCTCTCTTAATGCATACTCTTTTTGTTGGTTTTCCCTTTTCAACTCCAACTTTGCCACATTAAACTCAATCTGCTTCTCCAAGATGCACTGGAGTTTATTTATTACTTCTACCACTCCAATTTCTGCATTCAACTTTCTCTTCTTTTCATTACAACTTTTTCTTCCTTGGGGGCGCACAATCCCATCACTTTTAGCTCGTTCGGATTTCTTAGAAGAACTTTCTTCAGAAATTTGGCTTGCCATATTCACATTGGTGGAATGTTGGGGGCTTGCCATGTTCTATAAATTATGAACAAAGAAAAATAATATCATCTTCTACTTGTTAAAAGAGTTGAATACATCTCACTAATAAAATGATTTACCATGTAAAAAACAGTTTTTTGTTATTGTATCTTTAAATAATGATATATGCTAAGTAGTTAATTCGTTACTCGGTAGCAACTCGGTCAAGGGCCGAGTATCAAGTAAGACCTAGACTCAGGATTACTCGGTGACTGCTCGGTCCTAAATTAATTAATTTTAAAAATGTAAATATTTAGAATTGTAGTAATATATTAATCTTAAAAAAATAGATATGAAAAAAAATCCTCCTAATGAAGAAGAAGAAACGAGAAAGAAGATAAAGGTATGGAGGAGAATAACTTACCTTGAGATGAGGAGGAACCACTGCTGGAATGAGCAGATGTATGAAATACTTTTAAATCTAGACTTTTTAAGGTTTATTTCCAATTTTTAAAATACCCACTCAATATTTATAAGTTACATAATATCCCTCTTTAATTAAGAATATTTAAATTCAACAAATTACAAAATTCTTATGTCTGGCTGAGTAACTCACTGAGTTGATAACTTTCCCGAGTTGAGAAACTCGCGGAGTACTCGGCGAGTAACTCGGAAATATAATACGGACCGAGTCAAGTAGTCAATGGTCAAGGTCACCACCCGAGTTGCGATTACTCGCCAAGTACTTGCCGAGTACTCACCGAGTAGATAACCCAGGATGTATGTCATTTTAGTAAAAACTTGTGCTTATTTTGGCAGCCTTCTCTTAGGGTGCTAGCAAAACCAGATCACTATCATACTTTAAAAGTAGTAAATTTACATGTATCCTGATACCAATTTTCTTCTAATTGGCTCATATAGAAATTTGTCTCTACGTGACTGTTTGCTCTCTTCTTTTAGGCATCTTCAAGATTCAAAGTTTTTTAACCTTTATCTAAAACTAAGCTACACGAAGTGAGCGTTAACTTCTTATCTATTCAGTTAACTATCTTCTTTTATGTGATATAGGGTGCAGAACCTGTCTTAAGTGATGGTATTTCATAAACATTTCCACATGAAGAGTTCCAAGGGCTACCAAAGAAATAATATGATCTACTAATACATTTCAAGAAATGAGCCTTAAGTGGTATACATTTTTAGCATATAAAGCAGAAACTTAGGTGTGCCTATTAAGGTTTTCTTTTAATGTGAAATGCATTATTTAGGTTCAAGCAGAACTTTTAGAAAGCCAGGGTATATATGAAATAGTGTGATTTATGATTGTATAATTAGAATCTTAATATTTTCCAAAAACACTTATAGTACATTAATTAATGCCTCGCTAGTAGCCTATGAAGGAGTTACAATTTGGCCTTACTACCTTAAAAAATCAGTCAAATTTATAAAGTACTCTTCATGCTAACACATGTAATAAAAAAAAAGTTTTTCTTTATTGTATCTGCACTCTTAGTTAATCTTTTACTGGTTTTCTTTTACGCGTTGAATTGCACACAAAGCAATTCAGCTATGGCCTAATTAGGGGGTGTGTTTGGAACTGATTCTGCTTCTGCTTCTTTTTTGAAGCAGAATCAGTTTTCTCAGAAGTTGGTCCCCTTAAAATTAGAGCATCAAAATCACTTCTGTCTTTCATCTAAACACCCCCTTAAAATCAAATCTCTACCTCTAAATTCAGCAACACTGTGATTGACATACTTGAGCCAGAAGTGAAATTAAACCAAATTATCAAACACGGCAACTTAAGGAATTGATAGACACGTATAAACTACAATTTTCTTGTTTAACGAGTACTAGAAATTCAGGAAGGAAATATGAATCACATATGAAATCAGGAACGAACGATTACAGAGGATTAACGCTCCTTTATTATACGGAAACTTAAATCTGAAAAAAACGCATACCCTAGTAGGAGTTCTTATGCTGCAGCGAATCGGTGATACGGAGATCGAGAACAGGAACTAAGAATCTGTGTAAAAGTAGGAGATCGAGAGGATTAACACTGCTTTATTATAAGGAAAATTAAATCTGAGAAAATCGCATACCCTAGTAGAGTTCTTATGCGGCAGTAACAGATGTGATTTCGCTTTGTAGAAAGATGTGATTTCTTTCTGTCGTTCCCTCCACTTTGTAAACGTAATTTCGTTTCCCTCTCGATCTTTTAGGAATAGTGGCGCGCCTTTGTCGTCCCACTCAGGATGTTTTTACTTGGACTGTAATTTGTCCCAGACCAGACCAGACCAGTTCAGACCAGATCAGACCAGACCAGACTTGGATAGTTATAAAAATACAAAGAAACCAGACCTTACCAGACCAGACCAGACCAGTTCAGACCAGACCAGACCAGATCAGACCAGACCAGACCAGACCAGACCAGCAAATTACAGTCCAAGTAAAAACATCCTCAGGCAAACACGATTCTAAATATTTACTTTTTTTTTCTTTTCTTTTCTTTTCCTGGATTTGGGAGAGTGGCTAGAGGCCCGGAGCCTGAAATAATCAGTACTGAAACTCACTCCATTGATATATTATTAAAGTAAGTTAAATACATTTTTTTGCAAATATTTATAACCTATTATAGTATCTTGTTCTGTTAAAGACCAATATCCTTAAACTGATATGGGATTCAAAATACTTATCATACTCTTTGGAAGTGTATTTCGAATACCCTTAGCGATGTTCAGAAACTCGGTGTGCCGTTTAAATTTGCTCTTGGATCACTCGCTGCTACAAGAAGAAGAAAGACCGGACCAGGTGATTGTCGTCACCCCCGAAGAAACACCTAGGGATTAACCTTAGAGACGGCCGCTTCTAACTATGTGTTTATCAGATTTTTTAAAAAGTCCTTTTCAGTTTTGGCTTTAAAAAGCTGAAAAAATGTTTTCGAATGACACTTAAATGAATAAGTTAATTTTTAGCATGTATATAACGTGTAAATCATGATACTCAATTTCATATTTCTAATACTCAATTGTACTATCAACACAGTCATTTAATACTAATACTCATTTATTAAACATTATACTCATTAAGCATAACATGAAATATTCAGTTGCACAATGAGCACTTTACAATCGAGTGTACAATATATGTTTTTTGATTGGCGCTCGACGCAAAAATAATAAAGTGGCAAGCTTTACCTTAAAATCACGAATTTGGTTAACTTGTTAAAGGAAAAAATGGAAAGCAATAATCCAACCTTTTAACGGTATTCTTATAATAGTCCCACTTAATCGTAATTTAGTAATAATCCGACCTTTGCACCCAATTTTCGCTTCTGGTCGGTATTCTCAGTTTTTTTTGCAAATCATTAAACCAAAAATTTGTTGTAGTCTCTTTTTATTTTATTTTCCGGGCTACTTGTTTATACTTTTTCTTTGATTTTTTCTGAAAAGCGAAAAATATAGAGCAAATTCCCTAAATACGACTAAATGAAACCTTAATTACAAGATTTTAAGTATAACTTCAAAAATCCCTAAACAGACCTAGCTTTCCAGTACTACCCTTGCTTTGTTGTAGTGCGATTCATTTTTCATTAATAATTAAAACTTAGAAGTAATAACATAATTTTATTTATAGTAAAAATGTAGAAAAATAAGAAACATGAAAATAAATATTAAATAAAATCAATAAAACTTAAACATTAGAAAATAAAAAATTATAAAACTAAAAACTCTAAAAACTAAAAAGAAATATGCAGGCCTCTGATGCCACTTCAACAACCTCTCAGCACCATCAGCTCCGACCACCATAAAAAAATTCAACATGTGTCAGTAATGTCATCTTACGGGCAATTTTCGCGAAAATTTTGGCATTTTCGAAGAACAAAAATGTCATAAGCATGACCATTTCAGAGGAAAATTCCAATGGCTACATAAAATTACCTTTTTTTCGTCAATCGGAGTTGGCATTGCTGGGAAGTCGTCGAGGGTGTGGGAAAGGCCTTCAATTTTCTTTAATGTGTTTTATCTATTTTATTTATTCTTAAAGTTCTTTTTTTAATAGTTTTTTTATCGCTACTCCGGGGTATTTATTATTTTATTAGTTTTTAAAAATACTTTAATATTTTTTATTTTATTTTTTACTATTTTAAAAATTGAAATATTTTTTTATTATTTTTTCGTTTTTATTATTATGTAAAATATGATTATCTTGTTAACTTATTGTAAGGGTAGAATAAGAGGATAGAAAGTACTTTAGTTCTATTTTGAGAAGATAAATAACAAAGTTTTATTTGTGCATTTAGGGATTAGTTTAGTCATATTTTGGGGTTATTTTCCCAAAATATATTAGTGGTGGAATTAGGGTAGGAAAAGGAAAAGGGAAATAAATAAGTGTAAGTAAAAAGAAAATAGAGTAAAAAGTCGGTACGGTGAGAAAAAGATTTTTATAAGAAGGGAACTAAGTCGGAAAATTTATGAAAATGAAAATGAAATAATAAAGGTGAAAAGGGAAAAGAAGGAAAAAAATGGAATACATAAACATGGAAAAGAAGTACAAATAAGAATAAGAGGACGAAAACGGGGAATAAAAGAGGAAAGAGGTAATAAAAATATATAAAAGGAGAAAAGTTTTAGGAGAAAAAAATGACATGTAAGACCGCTTGGAGAAGATTTGTGAAAGATAAGATTTGTGGTTTAAGATTTTGCAAAGCAAAAAAAACATAGAATAGCAGTTCATCAACGGTTAGGGACCAACGAATGAAGATGGATTACAAATATTGGATTATTACTAAATAACAATTAGGTGGAACTATTGTAAGAATATCGCTAAAAGATTGGATTATTTATTTCCATTTTCCCTTTATTAAAGAGCTAATAAATAAATGATACAACCATGAGAGGCATCACATATATACACCAGGGGCGGAGCGAGGGTACTAAATCGGAATGAGTCGGTACAAAGAATATTTTTGAGAAAAAATACACAGAAATTTTTACACTAAAAATATAGACATTTTTTAAATTGGCCTGGGCTTGGGCCAGGGTTGGCCACCCACTAGCTACGCGAGTATATAATTATGACACTATGAGACATGCCTCGGCACGCCTTACGCCTTTTAGAACATTGCTAATATATCTAATTAAACGTGAAAGTCAATTGCCTAGCGCCATCTAGCCCAAATCATTCATAAAATACCCATAAAAATACCTATTTGTTTTTTCACTTCTTACAATTGTGTGTTGAGGTGGTTCTGGTCCCAGTTTCGGTCCCTGACCGGCCAGCCCCGCTCAATGCTAGAGTGCTAGAGGAAGACTAGGACCAACCCAGTTAAATTCAGGTCTAGATAGGTTACGGGTACTCGGGCAGTCCAGTCACAATTCCAGTCCTAGGATGAACCCAGTCTGTTTTTTTTTTAAGGTTAAAAAAATTGGTCAGGCCGGGACCGAAACCAGGCCCAAAACCACCTAGTCCGGTCCCAAAAATTCAAGCCCAAGAGCGCAAAAATGGATCTAGTCCACTCCCAAACAAAGTCGGACCCGATTCCTGACCGAGCCGGACTAGGTCCACCTCTAAGCGTATGTTTGAAACTGTGGGTACAGGTTTCTTTCGATTATAATCGGTTGTGCGTATCGTACCATCTATTTTAAGTAATATATCTCTAAATGCTCCCCCCTTACCCCCACTGTAGGTAGGAGCCTCTACGGCATGGGGGTAATGATGATGATCTCTAAATGCTCATCGGTAATATGGTATTATATTACCTCGGTGTTGTACAAGTTTAGGTTTGGCCTCGATGAGAAATAAAATGAAGCCCCGTCCTAGGCGATGCATCTTCGGTCTCAAAGACCGAAAACTAGTCATGGACCCGGTTCGGGCCACCCGGCCCGCTGCTGTGCGGGCCCGGAACCGGCTCGGTTCTCGGGTCCGGGTCCGGGTCAGTGCCCGAACCGGGGGGGGGGGGGGGGGGGTCAGGGCTCGAGGCTTGGTTTTGGCGACCCGACCTAACGGCCATTTAAAAGGGAAAAAAAACCTTTAAATCTCTAAAGAGCCGTTTGGCTCTTGACCAACATCTCAAACGGCTATATAGCCATTGGGTGGGTACCAGGGGGGTCCGGGGTTTTTGGGGGGTGGGGGGGTTAAAAAAACCTATAAATACTCCTAATTTTAAACTTTTTATTTTCACACCTCTTCTCCAACTCTTCCTAAATCCTACTCTCTACTCTCTACTCATCTCCATATTCATCTTCTCAAATTCTCTTATTCTCCATTATATTTTATTTTACTATTTAATACTTATACAACTATTATATCTACTTATATCTACTTATAAATACATATACTATACTCGTTTTACTTATATTTCTTATCTACTTATTATCTACTTATATCTACTTAATACATACATACTACATCTACTTAATATATACTTTATATATTAAAGTATTAAATATACTTTATAAATTATTAGTATAAACTTAATACATAATATTATCTACTTCTCTACTTATATTTCTTATCTACTTATTCTATTATTCTCCAATCTCCATTATATTTTACTATTTAATTCTTATACAATTATTATATCTACTTATATATTAATTATCTACTTATAAATACATATACTATATTACTTATATTTATTATCTACTTAATCTCTGCTTATTATTTTCTTATATCTACTTAATACATGCATTCTACATCTACTTAATATATACTTTATATATTAAAGTATTAAATATAAGTGTATTACTCATCTTATAGTAGTATACTTATATATTATATACTATAAACAATATATTATATATATATTAGTTACATTTTAATTAATACTAGCTTTCAAGCCCGTGCGATGCACAGGCATTATGTAATTTAGCTCATTTCAATTTTGATTTCTTTCTTATCATATGTAATGTGATTTAAAATAAAAATAAACTTAGTCTAATATAGAGCCTGTTATATAATACTAAAATAAATCGAATCAACTTATTTTACTTAAATTGATGAAATTATGGCTGAATGGGTGGAATCTCCTAGATCATGAAAAAAATATGTAAAATATATTCCATTTGTGAAGCCAAGAAAAGATTATATGAAAAATAGTTAAATTTATCTTCTACATAAGCATCTCAACTCTCAAGTAAATATAATTGTTATGAACCCGATTTTAAAGAATTCATAATCTCACATCCTCTAATTACTTTATTATGCACCTCAAGTT